ACACGATCTCAGTGTGCACACACGCTGAGGTTAGAGCCTCAGTGCTTTTCACTACTGACCAAAATGTTTCCACAGCACAGTTTCAAAAACTGCCGAGGCCCAAGCTGGCATCGAATGTCTGCTCTTTAAACGGTTTCTGACTTAAAATCATAATTTGTGAAAGTTTAGACTTTATTTTAGTGAGTGAAAAGATTTTGAAAAATGTAGCTTCTTCTTCTGTTCAGTAGAAAAACATGTTTCTATCCCTCAGAGTTAAAGTAGAGAGTCTGCAGCAGTGCTGGTAGCTCTGTGAGCTCTGTGAGGCCGTTCAGTGTGTTGGCATAACATTTGCCTATTAGCACCAAATACAAAGTACAGCTGAGGCTCATGGGAATAAGTTTTTGCAGGTATTTGGTCATAAACCAAAGTATTGCACGAACTGAAACTTTGACTTGATGAGTGAAAAGCGAAAAGTCAGGGGGGTCACCAGGGGGCCGCGAACGTCTGCACCACATTTCATGACGATGCATCCCATTTCATTCTGTACCAAAGTGGTGGACCCCCCGACGAGAGGGGTCCACATTTCAAATGATGCTCATGTCGTCATCTCTGCAGGACTTTGTTGTGTCAGTGTGGATGAGCTGGTCCATGTTGGAGCAGATGAACGATGAGAGAGGTGGACATCAGTTTAATGTTTATTGCTACCTGCTCTCAGACTCTCCCTTTGAGTCACACACTCGAGGGCGTAGACGTCGTAGCGGGAGACTCCGTCCTCTCTCCAGGTCTCCCCTCCCGCGAACCTGGCTCCACGCTGACTTGTTTGCTGAGCAGGGTTTCGGAAAAACATGACGACATGTAGGAACCGGGTACAGGCACATACTTGGTGTGTTCCTGAGACCGGGTGGAGGTCCGGTTTGTGCGGCGTTACACGCAGGAAAGCCAAACAGTGAAAGCAGCATTGGAAAACAATGAAGTAATGGAGAGAGCGAGAAAGGGGAGGGGGGGGGAGGTCAAGAGACTGAAGCGAGGAAGAAAAGTGAATGAGAGATAGAACGTGTAGAGAGGGAAGAGGTGAGGAATTACGTCTCTGGTTTCTTTCCTCCCAGGCGCCATGATATTTGGAGGGTTCTGTAATAAACCGTGACACCTTAATGTAAAAGAATCAGAGTTTCTTCTCCTCCTCACGGAGATTTAACCTGCTCCCAGATGATGAATTCCTTTAACAAACACTTGCTCTCTGGTAATTCTTTCCCAGGAAAAGAATCTCTCTGCTGCACAGGAAGTCGTACGTCTCGTATGTGTCCAGCTGCAGCAACAGCAGCGTGTTTGGATCAAGAAATAGAACCGGACGGTTTTTTGTTTTTTTTGTTTTTGTTGCATGAGCAGAATCGGCTGAGAAGCCTGAACACGCGAGAGCAGAAAGTTTGTTATCAGAAAATCCAAAGTCAACAGATCCGAAGGCCGCTCCTTACTGTTTGATTGACAGGTGAGAAAGTGCAGCGTAGGAAAGTCACAGCAAAGAGTATTGGTCACATACACACACACACACACACACACACACACACACACACACACACACACACAGCTGCAGTTTTCTTTGCTTTCTGAGGAGATGTGTGAAACAATAGGTCACCAGAGATCATGACGTCCAGGGGTGAGAGGAGCAGGGACGCCTGGGATAGAGTTACCACATGTACGAGCTCCAGTACTTTCTCTCTCTCTCTCTCTCTACCAGACTGACGCAGAATCTTTCCAAACGCTTCTTCTCTCTCCCTCAAAGTTATAACCCTTCAGATGAAGTGCGGTGGTGCGGTTTAATACGACAGCAAACGGCGACTTGTCGAGCGGCTTATTGGTCAGAAATAAAGCAGCTGACGTGTTCCAGTGCAGCCAAACACTTATTATTCTAACAAGGAGGTCAGTTACTTTTAACTGATGATGGTTTGAGCCAGAAAGCTCTAACACAAGTGAGCTGGTTGACAATAATATTTTATTTAAAAAAAAAGAATTATGGAAAATATCGTATATGGCAGGAAATATTGTGATATTAGATATTATTGAATATCTGTTGTGTCTAATGTTGTGTTTGCATACAGATAATAACACTGGTTTACATCCATGCAGTTTATTTTTTTCCTTTTTAAATCCCTCGTGTGTGTGTGTGTGTGTGTGTGTGTGTGTGTGTGTGTGTGTGTGTGTGTGTGTGTGTGTGTGTGTGAAAACTCCCATATATAGGTACATTTTAAGGATCAAAACTCACCTTCCTGTCAGGTCGTCATCTTCCTTTCCCCTCTCTACTTCTCACTCCTCTTGATGTGTGATTTGCCCTGAAGCTGCGTTCATCATAGTCTGAGACCGAGACATCAGCGAAGCCACACAGGTGCTGCGGAAACCTACAGCGATTATAATCACTGCGCCATAAAAAACGATGCCAATATTCAACACCTCATATTCTATTCAGAGGCGTTTTAATGAGGGACTTGTGAGTAAAAATGTAAAAGTAAAAGCTTCGGGCCTCAAAAGAGATTAAATTAAATGGTCCAGACTTTGGATTTGTGCCATTGTTGTGTCCTTGTGAGGACGTATGAGCACACACACACACACACACATTTTTACAACCTGGGTTAATAAGTGAAAGCAGGGCACCGATGAAAGCTTGAGTCATCATCGGATCATAAGAGGAGAGGCGAGCTTCTTCTGCTCGGCCGGGCCACTCGCCTCTTTGCAGAGCTGTAGAGTGGAGGTGGCTCAGTTAAAGGAAAGTGCATCAACACAACAGGCTAATGTTTTCAGTTCATAGGGACTCGCTGTGGAGTGGGTCGTATCGTGGACCCCCCCATGTGTGAAGCACCATGGGATGCTGCAGCTCTCCTTTGAAACACAGGATCAAACATATTCATGCATACTTGTGTGAAATCCGATCAAGATGTTGTGCACGCGCCCGTTGTCCGTTCTGCAGCGAGGAGACGGGCGACGCGGTGATTTAACGGGCTCTGTTTCGTGTTGTTGAAGCTGCTGCCGTGTGGAATTTCAGGGAGGATTGTTAACTTTCCAGTTCAGTTTAAAAATGGAGCGATGGAGCAGGAAACAGGAGTCATAACCCGACATCCATCATCTCCTCTTTAATATCTCCCTCCTTCCTCTCGCATCTCTCTCCCATGTATTTGTTCCTCTTGTCTCACACAACACTAATTAATAAGTCCTCTCCTCCCTCAAGATTTCTCCTCTCTCTTTCTTTCGCCATCTCATCTTTGTGGCCTCCTGAGGGATGAAGACTACTGTACTGCATAACACAACAACAACAACACCTGCTGTACTTTGTGTGTGTGTGTGTGTGTGTGTGTGTGTGGTCGGTCCCTGCCTCTACCATCCAGTAAAAGTTGTGTTGGTTATAGTCCTGTCCAGCTCAGTGCGTCTTAAACATGGATGTGGCAAACATTCGAAATCTTATGCGCAAAACTCAAGCCTCGATTTTAGAAAACGGCTTCCTGGACAAACGCGTCGATGAGCTCAAACATGTGAGTGCTGCACTTTCACTTCACTTCCTGTACAAAGTGTATACCGTATATTTTTAAATAACCCGGGCGGGGTCTTTTTGCACTTTGGTTAAAGTGATAAGTTTTCTCTCTCCACATCTGGGCTTGGCTTCGTGTCAGTTTTCAGAGGTGGTAAGATCAGTCCGAGAGCTGCTTTAAAGAAAACTTTGGACGATGTACAAACAGAAAATCTTTGCTTTGTTTTGTTGCATGTGTTTGAATGAATGTGAGGTCTGTGAATGGACTTTAGACTTCAAACTGTGCTTCTTGGCTTCGGTGTGAATGCGCTCTATTGTGGCTGCGAGTTGGGAATTGGGATGTTCTCTTAAGTCCTGAAAGATGTGACGAGAGCTTGTGGGACAGGAAGGACTTACTGAAACTTTTGAGATTTATTTGTGCAAAACAAAATGTTTCTGCCACAAAAAAAAATGTTGTTTCCAGGATGCAGCTGTTTCTTGGATTAAAGCTGCTGACAGCTCACGATCTGGCCTTGTGTTCAGAACTGAAACGATTCGTCGATTAGTTAATAAACAGGATATGATGATTGTAAATTTAATATGCAAAACAATTCATTTAATTCATTCTCTCCTCCCAGTTTCTCCTGCGTGAGGATTGAGAATTAGAAATTAACTCGTCAATTGGTGCATAGGAAAAAAAGTCAGACAAGCAACATTAAAAAAAAAAAAACACAAGACACAGATAATTTTTAATAAAATAAGATAAATAATATAAAAAATGTGTACAAAACGGTAAGATATGAGTTGTTGTATTATATTATACAATAATAAGTAATATGTTTGGGTTTTTCACTGTTGCCAAAACAAGACATTTGAATATTATCTTTAAATTTGAAATAGAATTTAAAAACAAACAAATATTAACGAAGGATCATTGAAACGCTTCAGCTGACCTTTAGAGGGCGACCAGAGGTGATGATTATGGAAACACAAGAGTGTGACGGCAGCACAAGAAGAGAGGCGCTGCAAAGGCAGTCGTACAGTTATAGTTGATATCTATTTAAAGTTTCTCTAACATTAGCCGCCATAAGCTTCGGGTCATACCAGACCGTGTGAGGCAGTGATGGCAGAACAAGTGAAGTGTATTGACTTGAGAATTGTTTTTCAACTTTTCATTTACAAGAAGATTTTTGTTTCACCTGAAGCGTACCTTTACCTGCCTCCCTGTGTCTTGTACTGGTGGGGTCTTAGACGACACTCCTTCCACTGTTGCCGTGGAGCTGATTATTGATGTAGATCGCTGGTTTCCTGTAGCTCGCTCGCTCGCTCCTTCTCCTCTAATGAGGATGGATTATGTGCGTCATGTCGACCGTCTGGTGGTTCTTTCGTTCCCTCCCTTCTCCCCTTTTCTCCAATTTCGAGGAGTATGATTGATGAAGCGTTACACTACATGGGTTATGTTGTTACGTTCAGTCGCTAACCCCATCCTCTCCCCCTCTGTCCTCCTCCTCCTCCTCCTCTCCTCTAGGTGGTGGCTAGTGACGGGGTGCGGGCTATGATGGAGTCGGCCCTGACAGCCAGAGACCGGGTGGGCGTGCAGGACTTTGTCCTGCTGGAGAACTACACCAGCGAGGCCTCCTTCATCGAGAACCTGCGCAAGCGCTTCAAAGAGAGCCTCATCTATGTGAGTGCATGAAGGGAGGGGAGGGGCTTAACGGCATGTGTACATATTAGAGTCTCATCTCTACTGGATTTATGAATTTGATATTTCTGTGAAGTAAATATCTTTGGGTTTCTGACTGTTGCTCAGACAGAACAAGACATCTGAATTTTGTAGAATTAATTCAGATTGATCAAGAAAATGTTGAATTAAAGAATAATAAATATAATTCTTAGTTTCAGCCCTGCTAGCATTCATCGTCTTTAAATGATTCATTTTGATTAATTAATACTTATCTATAATGAACACATCTGTGTGTCTGTTTAAGTTTGTTCATTTAACAACTGGTTGATGAGGATTGTACTTTATATACTGTGTTTTACAGGATTATATATAGAAGACAAAGACAGTTATTTGTTCCTCTGTCACTTAAAATCTACTAAAGAAAGATAGAAGCTGATGTAGACAAGTAAGATGGTGATACAGTGTGTAGTTGTGTGTGATATTGTGAGTAACGTCATGTAACGTGACTGTATGTTTCCCCTCCCATCAGACTTACATCGGTTCAGTGCTGGTGTCAGTGAACCCGTACAAAGACCTGGAGATCTACACCAAGAACCACATGGAGCGATACCGCGGGGTCAACTTCTACGAGGTCTCGCCGCACATGTAAGTACACCAACCTCACCCCTCGGTACGCAGCTCAGCTGATCGTTAACTTTACATTTCCGGCATCTAACCGGCACTCGGAGTCAAAGTACTTACTGAAAGGTCATGAAAGAGACGACGGTCAACGGGAGAAAACGTCATCGTCACACAGAGTCATTAAAAACAATCATGTCTGTTCACCTATATTAGTGTGCAAAGGTTTTAGGCCCCAAATCTTTTTAGAATGATCAGTTGACGTCATACGAAGTCCAGCAAACAGAATAAAAACTAAATCTAGGTTTTTTCCGAGCATCGTGCAGAACCTGCCGCTGGAGAAACATTCACAGTGGACAACATGTTTGTTCCTACACCTAAAAATAAGGAGTCTGTTGAAGCTTTATGAGTCATTTGTTGCACCTGTATTTTTCTAAATGTTGTCACTGTGAGTATGTTTTTGTGGGAATATGTGAAAAGTGACCAAAGCACCATTTTTCTACTAGCTACGTAATGCTGTCGTGGTCTGACCGTCCCTCTCAGTCAGACGCCCAGACGTCAGGTCATGAGGCAGAGTGTTTGTTGGAAAGGTTGCCACAGGAATGATCAGGGAATTCCCTGTTAAATCCCCCCAGACCCACAGGTCAGCTACAGAACAATCAGGCACATTATAGAGACTCAGAGCGGCGTCATCGAAAGATTTCTGAGTCTCTCACTGACTCTTTCTCCACTGGTAGTTTACCCCCCCCCCCTTCACTTCAGCACTTGAGTGCAGGGCCAATGTTTTCTCTCCCTCCGATTGGAAAGAAAGATGTGCTTTGGCAAAGAGAGGTGGAGGGCTGCGGAGTGAAAACAGGGGAGGGAGAGATGGAAAGAAAAGTAAGCAAATGATAGTACCAGGCAAGAGTTTCCTCCCTTGAGAGGGAATTCCTCTGACCTGAACCTGACCCCACCCCCCCCCCGCCCCGAGCCCTCCCTAATATCACACCCATAGACTCCACACACACACACATACAGTACGACGCAGCTGTTTTTATCTTCCAGCAATTAGTCTGGTGTCAGAAATGTGTCCAAACAGGCTGAAACAACAGAGCGGTGCTGATAGCGGCGGACGGCCGACAGATGAGAGCAGAACTACAACAGGCTGCATTCCTCCGCAGACCCAGTGATTTATACTGGTGGACCACAATCTTTCCATGTTCACACGCCGCCACTTTCCAGACGCACGAGTTTCAAGAACTTTATTAAAGTGCTATTTTCGTGAACATCACCACGACTGATAAACAATAATTTCACTAATATTTTTGCTATCGATTTGTGTCAATGATTTCCATTTTACACGCCTCCAGTTATTGTGTTGAGCATAAAAAAGTTTCTGATATTTTAATAAATATTTCATGTTAACTTTTTCTTCCCTTTAACTGAACCAGATATTTGTCTCAGGATTTGTTGTTGTCAGTTGTTTGATGTTGACGGCGTCTCTGTTCCCCGTCATTTAAAAGCTGCCGGTGGAAAATACATGAGCCGATATTTCAGGTCTTAAAATTTAACAGTTTTAACAGCGACAGTCGTAATAATTATTTCCTGTCTCATAAAAAACTCTTGGCAAGTGAAAAACCACAAAACACCAAATGATTATCATTAATGTGCACAGACAGAGGTTAAGTTCTTCCCTCAAGGCGATAAGTTTTAAAGACGAGCACATTATTGATCGATTATATATTGAGCATTACTTCAAATCATATTCAAACTCAGAATCACATCTTGCATTACATCACCAGACGTCCAAATCCACTTTAGTTTATTGATTTATTTATTTACTGGTGTATTAACAGGGACGGTTGACTTTAATAAACGTTGCTGTAAAATGTTCTTACATCAAATATCTTCCTGTTTGTCCTGCGAGCGTCTGTAACTGTGACCACCTGCCTTCATCACCTCTCTCGCCCCCTTCACTCCTCCTCCTCCAGCTACGCCGTGGCAGACAACTCGTACCGCTCCATGAGGACGGAGAGGAAGGACCAGTGCATCCTGATCTCCGGGGAGAGTGGAGCCGGGAAGACGGAGGCGTCCAAGAAGATCCTGCAGTACTACGCCGTCACCTGTCCGGCCAGCGAGCAGGTGCAGACCGTCAAAGACCGGCTGCTGCAGTCCAACCCCGTGCTGGAGGTGAGAGAGAGAGAGAGAGCTTCTCCATCCAGACTTTATCATGATGCTGAGACGCCTCTTGATAAATAACGTGGCTGATTTGCTTCTTGTAGAAACGAGACAACAAACTGTCAGCGCTGTTTGAAATGAAGCGCTGACGAGACGGAGAGAAATCTATTATCAGTGATGCTGTTATAAGGATGTCGCACTGTCATGAATAATGTTTAATTATCTTTCCATTAGAGCAGACGGTTGTCTTCCTAATGTCCATAAGTGCCGTCGCATCTTTGAGCGTAAACAGCATCCGCTCGATGACGAGGCGTAGAGTCGGGATTAATGGACGGTGACGCACACAAGAAGAAGACCAGAGAAATCAGCTGTTTTTCATCATCAATACTGATTTATCTGTTAAATATCTGTTTCTATTACAGTGGAAATATTATCCAAATCACAATATGGCCAATTGCAACATCCAAAATTGCAGGAGCTGCAAAAAACAAATCACTTTCTCCAGACGATAGATTACGTACTTTCTATACATACTAAAATCCTGATTCATATCACAATCGTAATATCTGTCAAAACAATCTCAATCTGTTTGTTTTCAGCGCCGTTCAGCTCAAGTAGCTGTCGTCTGTGAACATGTGCTTCATTCACCCACGCTGGTTGAACGCGGCATCGTGAACACGTCTCAGAGCCGTGGTTGTTTGTGTTTGTTTGACAGTCGCTGGTTTGGAGAACGGAGTTTACTGAAGTGCTTGTTTTGATGTCTGGCATGTCTCGGCCAGATGTTTTCCAGATGTGTTTACGTGTGTGTGTTTGTGTGTGTGTGTGTGTGAGCGCCCTACTTCCTGTAATCTGTGCTACTGTCCTAGACCAACACCGCAGGGATTCTGACACCTGTCTTCATCACACTCATCCTCTCCGCTCCCTCGTTATCTCTCCACCCCATAATCTGTCAATCATCATTTCTCCCTCTCTCTCCCTCCTTCTCCCTCCCTCCCTCTCTCTCTCTCTCTCTCCTCTCCTTATCCCTCTCTATCCTCTCTCCAGGCCTTCGGCAATGCCAAGACGTTGCGTAACGACAACTCAAGCCGCTTTGGCAAGTACATGGACGTTCAGTTTGACTTCAAGGTGAGCGGGACGCTGTGATTTACGCCGGCAGCTACTTTTAGCACGAGTGAACACGGTCCAACAAATGTTCCGTGAGATGGGAGGCAGATTGTTGCAAGAACCAAAAATATTGTTACCTCGACATGTTAAAGACTAAACTAGAAGAAAATCTGTGTTTTTTTATCAAATACAATCGAATTCAAGTTGTTTTAATCACCCACATCACTCCTCCTCCCTGTATCTTATAACCTATTATGTTCTACAAAATCCACGTCGAACCTGCATGTGATATCAACCCTGCAACACCTCCTCAGTACCCCAGCCTTACCCACTCCTCCTCTCCCTCCTCTTTCTCCCCTCTCCCCCTCTGGCCTTTGTCCCGTCGGCAGGGCGCCCCGGTGGGAGGCCACATCATCAACTACCTGCTGGAGAAGTCCCGCGTGGTCCACCAGAACCACGGCGAGAGGAACTTCCACATCTTCTACCAGCTGATCGAGGGAGGGGAGGAAGACCTGCTGAGACGCCTGGGCCTGGAGAGGAACCCCCAGCAGTACCAGTACCTGGTCAAAGTGAGTATCCAGAACTTTGACTTCTGCGTCTACGAAGAGATGCAAGTATTTATCAGTATTTATCAGTATTTATCAGTATTTATCAGTATTTATCGGACTATCTGAAGTAGAGCTGCAGTGAGAAGACGATTCATTGATTTCCAGATTGTAGGAAAAATGCAGATTTACATCCACAGTCCCACGGCAGGAAACATGAAACTAAAAACACTAACACAGTACACTCCTACAAATATAGAATTAACAGAATAAAAAAAAAGACAAATACATTTTTGCTGCGTCCTGAGTTAAAAATGACGACAGATCTGTTTTGACTTTCTCAGTCTTTAGCTCGTTCTTTATATCACCTCTCCTCTGGTGTCCGTCAAATAAAGGCGCTAGAAAAAGAAGAAGTTGCTGGTTTAAGTTTTGGAATTACTCGACAGAACTAATCTTATTTGCATGAGGAGGAACTGGTATCAGTGTGTGGTAAATGTTTGGGTGTGGTTTTATTTCAGATGTGCATTTGAATATATCTGTTTGTTCATGGGAAATCCTGCAGCGATGCCAGTTCATCGTCGAGTCTCAGTGACGTTTCTGCAGCAATAAAGAAAAACCTGTGGATGAATATGAATCATACACTGCAGGAAACTCTCTCTCTCTCTCTCTCTCTCTCTCTCTCTCTCCTGTCTGGTCTGTACTGTGTGTGTCCCAGTGGGAGTTCTGTTTAATAGGATCTCAGTGCAGAGAGAGGATCTGTCCTCAGGGGGCAAATCTGCCTTAAGGCTCGAGCTGAACCCTCCCTTCAGTGCACACACACACACACACACACACACACACACACACACACACACACACACACACACACAGCTACTGACCAAAAACACCTTGTGTGTATGTGTGTGTGTGTGTGTGAAAATAGGTGTTTACGTTACATACAAATGGCTGTTTACTTTGCACGTAAGCGCCAATTTACACGTCAGCTACTTTATTGATTTTGCTCACGACTTTGCAAGAGAATAAAAAGTTAAACTAGCTGGTAAATAAATAAAGAGCATGTTCAACGTGCTTTAGGTTGTTAACCAGTGGTTAATGTGTGTGTTTTTGTGTGTGTGTGTGTGTGTGTGTTTCACAGGGTAACTGTCCCAAAGTGAGCTCCATCAACGACCGCAGTGACTGGAAGGTGGTGAGGAAAGCGCTGAGCGTGATCGGCTTCAACGAGGACGACGTGGAGGTGAGGGCCGAGTCCGAGCCGTGTGAATTATCCCTGACGTGTTTGTTTTCTCACCTGAAGCGGAGAGGGAGGCGTAAACACGAGCGGCAGCGTGTTGCTATGACGTGGACGGAGCAGGTGGAAGCTTTTCGAAGCTCAATTTTCACCTCCTTCGTTCACTCTTACCGTTTCCCTGAAACACAAACGTTAAAGTTTATCACAGATCATCTTTTAATAAAACATTTCAACCCCCACTGTGTTTATCAACGGCCCTGAACAGTAAAGTTCTCCATGTGCCTGAGGGGGGAGCGGCTGGTTCTGTTGCTGTCCTGCAGTGTGGATGCTTGTGTTTGAAAGTGTTAGTTAGACTGTGTGTGTGTGTGTGTGTGTGTGTGTGTGTGTGTGTGTGTGTGTTATATGGTGAGAACTTATTTGTGCTCAGCGTGGGAGTCGTCCTACATGTTCATGAGTCTGGGCTCACTTCCAGAGCTTTTTAGATCTCACACTGCTTACACAGTGAAGAGCAGGTGTGTGTGTGTGTGTGTGTGTGTGTGTGTGTGTGTGTGTGTGTGTGTGTGTGTGTGTGTGTGTTCCTATCCTGTTCAATTCTCCAGGCTAAGTTTAATCAAAGCCATCCTTATCTTCCGCCCATGAAGCCTCGGCAGTAACTTCTTATCGTGCTGCAGAGTCTCATCTCTTAACCTTTTGCTCTCTCCTTCTTCCTCCGTCTTTCTCACCTCCCTCCCTCTCTCTCTCCGTGTTTTCACTCCCACTCCCTCGCCCCTCTGTGTTTTTTCTACGCGCAGGAGCTGTTGAACATAATCGCCAGCGTGCTCCACCTGGGGAACGTGCAGTACGGCGGGGAGGAGGGAAACGCCTGCATCACCTCCGACACGCAGATAAAGTACCTGGCCAGGGTAAGACGCTGCACCGAGCAGCTTCATAAACACTCCTCTAACAGGACAGGTGAACTTATTGATCAAGCATCTCTGAATCAGGAGCAATAAAAACTAGTTTGACTAGTTTTTATCTCATAAGAGAGAAAAAAAATAAATAATGATATAATAGTAAGAGGGTGTCTAGCACTATATGAGATAATGTGTGTGATAGAATAGACAGAATGACACTGAGGCGCATACCACACACATAAACATACAGTATCAGCATGTACATGCTTTTGTTTACAAAACAGTTTCAGTCTCTCAGTTACACCTGATGTCAGACATGATCAGCTGATCCCGTATCCAGGATGTCACGGTTGTCGAGTGGCGTGAGGTCGTTGCGTTGCCGCTGTTTGTGTGCTAATGTTGTTGTGTTTCTGCAGTTGTTAGGAGTGAATGGAGCAGTGCTGACGGAGGCGCTCACACACAAGAAGATAATCGCCAAGGGAGAGGAGGTAGGTTTGGATACACACGGTCATTGTAGAGCCGGTGTGTGATAAGCATGTGAAGACAAAGCTCTACTCTCTCTCTCTCTGTGTGTGTGTGTGTGTCACACTCGTATAACTGCCCCTGCTGAACTCTGTGTGTGTGTGTGTGTGTGTGTGTGTGTGTGTGTGTGTGTGTGTGTGTGTGTCTCCCTCAGCTGATGAGCCCTCTGAACCTGGAGCAGGCGTCGTCAGCTCGAGATGCTTTGTCCAAGGCCGTGTACGGACGCACCTTCACCTGGCTGGTGAACAAGATCAACACCTCACTGGCATACAAGGTACACACACACACACACACACACACACACACACACACAACTCACTTACTCCTGTGAGTGCAGAGCATGTTCATGTCTCTCCTGCTTATTCTGTTACAGCACAGCGCCACCTTGTGGACATTTACAAGTTCATAACGTGAACAGAACTCAACATTAAATCATGATAATAATAATTATAACTTCTTGTTGCTATGGATTTCATGTCTGTGAAATAAATAAATAAATCTAAATTAAATTTCATGCATTTACACGTAAAGAAAATCAGTCTGTAAAGCCTGAAGTGAAGTTTAATTTAATCATAATGCACATTTTATTCTTTTTAAAATAAAATGTCTGTAATGTCTTAATTCCTTTCATGTAGATAATTAAATATGAGTTTTCCTCTGTGTCTCTGACAGGACGACTCCTATAAGAATTACTCTGTCATCGGCCTGTTGGACATCTATGGCTTTGAGGTCTTCCAGCACAACAGGTAGTTATTGATTATTGATTTTCAAGAAAAGTTAAAAGGTGTGCACTCCACAAATCAGTCCGATTTTTAATTCAGTTCTCAGAGGAATAAAGTTAATTTCTGCCTGAAATATGATTGATATGGATGTGTGGACCTGTTTACACTTTACAGACTGAACCCAGCGTCTTTATTTCTCTTTATTTCTCTTTATTTCTCTTTGTTTCTCTTTGTTTCTGTTTGTTTTAGCTCGATGTGTATTTATATATTTTATTCTCTAAACTTGTTGTTGTATATCCTCTCAGCAGACTAGTTTATTTATTTGTTTTTATTTGACTTTTTGGTCATTTTACTGTTTATATTACTGACTTTTTCATTATCTCATTATTATTATTATTATTAATATTATTATTATCATTATCATTATCATTATCATTATTATTTATTATTATTAATATTATTATTATCATTATCATTATCATTATCATTATTATTATTATTATTATTATTATTATTATTATTATTATTATTATTATTAGTGCTTGCGTGAGACTGAAATGTGATTTGCTTGTAGTTCAGGCCCTAAATCTGGTGTGAATTGGTAATAAATTGGTTCTAAGACGCTGCTCAACAGTTTCAACTGTAACTATAAAATCTCTTATAAATTTATGGACCTGCCTCTAAAAGTCACACCGGCACAAAACAAAGTGAAGAAACAAACCAGCACGTTACTGATCCTGTGTCTCGTTATTATTTTATTTTAAGTTTGTTGTTGTTGTGCTGTTGCAGCTTTGAGCAGTTCTGCATCAACTACTGCAACGAGAAGCTGCAGCAGCTCTTCATCGAGCTCACCCTCAAGTCCGAGCAGGAGGAGTACGAGGCTGAAGGCATCACGGTCAGACATCACCCGCCTTTCTTTCTTTCTTTGTTTTTTATGCAGGATAATTTTGCGTTTTACGTTTCCTCTCTCGTCTCGCGTCCCCTCGTTACTCCACTTTGCTGTCACCTTCCATCATCACACCACCTCCCCTCCCTTTAAGCCGGGGGGGAGGGGGGGGGGGGGGTTGAGCTCCTAATGTGATTGTGGTTGCAGTCGTGTTTTCCAAAGTGAAATTGATAATTCAATTTATCACCCTGCCGTTTCACTGTCGCCTTTGCTCAAAGTAATTTGCAGTAAGTGCAGATATTTTTAGAAAATGCTGCCTCATTAGGATCTACGCCCTTTACCCTGTTATTGGTCTTTTATTTATTCACAGTTAAAGTCTTTAATGATTCCTCTTTAGGAGATTACATGTCAGGAACAGGATCTGCTCTGAGAGACGACGTCTGGCTCCAGATGTCTCTTGTCCGTTGTCTTCATTTATATTTATTGCATTTTATTGCTTTGTTTTGCTTCTTTTTGAACAGCGGCCCTTTGTGCTCAGTCTGATGTAAATGCACTTGGTCAGGGAGCAAACAGGTTGTGGGAGAAACTTGGATTCACCTCTCAAAGAGCCCATTATCATCTGACATCAGGACCGTGGGCCGCGCTCTCAGTCATCTCTGTGGAAATTATGTGGCGGTTACTCCTAACATAACCTAATAGTGCTGCACTCAGCCTGTGGCTTTGTGTGTTCATCGTGTGTGTGTGTGTGTGTGTGTGTGTGTTCACATGTGAGTGGGTGAGCAGTGCGCGGATTCCTGTAATTCTTCAGATGACCGACTTTACGCTCGTTAAATATTTCCGTGCAGATGTGAGTGTCGGCGGCCGATTGATGCCTCTGATCTGCTTTATTTCCTCATGATCTCTGACTGAAACATCGACCTTGTGTTTTCAGTGGGAGCCGGTTCAGTACTTCAACAACAAGATCATCTGTGACCTGGTGGAGGAGAAGTTCAAAGGCATCATCTCCATTCTGGTGAGGAGACGCTGAGCTCTGCGTCTCTGCTGCAGAGGCTCCACGGTTTAAAACGAGATTTCACTTCAAAAGAAAGGAAGAAATCACCTATTAAATTCATTTTGAAGGTTAATTTTGGCCAAAATATAAAATACAGAAGAATTTATGGCAAGATAAAGTGTCTTGTTAAAGTAAAAGTCACATGACCCAGCCATTAAATAGTCCAGCATACAACTCCCATCAAACCACAGTGTGTTTTTCAATCACCGATTAAACAAATGTGAGAAAACATCTTAATTAATGAGTGTTGATGAGCAGATTTGATCAGTTTTGGACAGATCCAGTCTTCCTGTGTCCCTCTGCCCGCTGTTTTTATGCTAAGCTAACCGTCTCCTGGCTCCAGGTTCATATTACCTCACAGACATTAGCGCGGTATCGATCTTTCCATGTCTGTCTTGAATTCTCCGTCACTGACAATCAGAACCTGGTGTCATCTCACAGTGCAGTAGATTATTATACCGTATATAGTTTAGTATCAAGTGTATGTGAATGGATCTGGGGGCACAGTGTTTGAAATGTTGCCGCTCTGCCTCTCAGGATGAGGAGTGTCTTCGGCCCGGAGACGCCAGTGATATCACCTTCCTGGAGAAGCTGGAGGACACGGTGGGAGGACACCCACACTTTGTCACGTGAGTTTATCGGATCGATCCGATGCTCCTCCTCCTCCTCCTCCTCATCTGTTCATCTGTTCTCGCAGTTCTTAAAATCTCAGCTTGAATATGAATATGCGTCCAGTGTGTTTACTGTCGCCGTGTGTGTGTGTGTGTGTGTGTCCGCAGTCACAAGCTGGCCGATGGAAAGACCCGGAAGGTGATGGGCCGTGACGAATTCAGACTGCTGCATTACGCAGGAGAGGTCAACTACAATGTTAACGGTGTGTGTGTGTGCGTGTGTGTGTGTGTGTGTGTGTGTGTGTGTGTGTGTGTGTGTGTGTGTGTGTGTGTGTGTGTGTGTGTGTGGGGGGTGCTTTAGTTTTTTGCACCTGTACCTTTTGCACCAGGCAAAACTAGTTTTGCATTTTCAGAATAAGATGGTCATATCACACCGCTATCAGACGGTCACTAATTTACATTAATGTAGAATTTGCATCGAGCGTTTCCACTGGATTTTACAAACGGCTAAGAGATGCTGAAGGAGGTTAAAGACACTGTGAAACCCTCAACATCCAAACGCAGCAAGATCTTCTTCTTCTCTGTGTCATGACTCAGTCAAATCTGAAAACACAGACATGATACTCGAGAGATTTCACCAGGTGTGATTTACACTTCCGGAATAAGATAAAAATTAATTAATCTGCTTGGAAATCATAGAAAAAAAGATTGTTCCTCCCTCCAGAACCTGCCTGAGAATCATCACCGTTAATTAGTGGCAGTTGTTTGTACGATTTCAAAACAGGAACTGCTAAAAACGAATTCAGCAATTTATTCTTTTAATGGTTGATTTGACAAAATGTAAACAAACAAACAAACAAACACACAAACAAACAAACACAGGCTTTAAGAAAACGGTCTCAAGTTGTGGCTCACAGCTGACTGACTGACTCCATGGTAACATTATACTTCCTGTTTACACCCCTCGTCGTGGGAACTCTGTCTCCAAAATAAATAGAGAAGAAGAGAAGTTACAAATCAGTTTTTTTATGTTCCACTATGAATATTTTTAACAAGACTATTATTGCAACTACATAGTAGATAATGAAGTTTAGTTCAGTCAGATTTTAACTACAGTAAATCTGACATTCAATCAATACGTAATGATGATAATACGGAAAGTATTTTGTGTTTAAAGGTAGAAATTTATCTGTTTGCAGAGAATCAATCAGAAAGTACTGTGATATATCCAGTAACAGGATTAGGAACGTGACATTTCTTCTTCTCTTCCTCAGGATTTCTGGACAAGAACAACGACCTGCTCTTCAGGAACCTAAAAGAGGTGAGAACCGCGGAACAGGAAGAACAGACCGGGAGGACTGATGCGATTGGAAGCAGCATCATGGGAAGCCGTGTAGCTGGTTTATGGTCTGAAATGTCGTCTTGTGTGTGTCTGCAGGTCATGTGTATGTCGGAGAACAAGATCCTGACCCAGTGTTTTGACCGGGAGGAGCTGAGTGACAAGAAACGCCCAGACACAGTGAGTAACCTGACTGTGTGTGTGTGTGTGTGTGTGTGTATGTGTGTGTGTGTGTATGTGCGTCTGTTTTCTATAATCATACTTTCATGCGTCCCAACATACTTTCCCACAGCTAAACAAACAGTGGTGTGTTTCCCCTCCTCGCTGTTGAGTGGGCGGTCTGATGGGGATTCTCTGCAGCCTCCCACTCACTGAGGAATGCCCTGACACTTGTATGCCCTTCACACACACACACACACACACACACACTTGAACAGGGTACTGTCACAGGCTGGCAAGTGAGACTCCCAGTCCTCCACACTGGTCCCAGTGTTCAGTCTGTCCTGGACCACAGTCACATCAGCCACTCCTCTTGTTTACGTAGCTCTTCTTAGCTCATCGTCTCTGTCCGCGAGCTTCTGTTTGCATTCGTTTCTCCGCTCATCTCCTCAGTCACTGACCGGCGTCCTCTCACCTTCATCTCCGTCCTCTCCTAACCACCCTTTGTTTTCTCTCTGGTGTCTGTCTGTGTCTGCCCCTCCAGGCAGCCACCCAGTTCAAAGCCAGTCTGGCGAAACTCATGGAGATCCTCATGTCCAAGGAGCCGTCGTACGTCCGCTGCATCAAGCCCAATGACTCCAAGCAAGCAGGTAGGAAGTCCGCTCTTTTATTTTGCTCGGTATGACACAGGACGGGAAACAGAGCTGCTCAGATACCTGTCACACAGTGTGGGACGAGGTCGGACAGAGGTGTGAAAGCTCAATTCAGAAGCCAAACACCTGGTCATCCGGAGACCATTCAGTCATCGTGACGGGCAGAAATTATTTCAACGCTAACCTCGTGATTCTGTCGTGTTTGCACGTCGTGGATCAGCCAAGTTTCTAAATCACAGTTGAGTAATTTATCAGAACACATTTATTTTCCCTTTGTCACGATATATGGAGGAGCGATATATATGTGCTAACATCGGGATATTCAGACAGAGGAGGTGGTTTTTATGGAGCGACGCGATGGAGCTTTGGAGCTTTCTGCCATTTTGTGCTGAGCCATGCTTTGACATGTTGTATCACACAGCACCTGCAGGTCTATCACTGACATGGAAGCAAATTACAGGCGTAATTATCTGAATCTAATGAGCAAAAGTGAAGTCCTGATTTATAGTTTCAATTTAATACCACTGAATTTATAGAATTAGCATTTTATTTTGAAATCCTGGTGTTGTCTGTAAGCTTTTTGAATGTTATTGGACATTTTTTTAACCATAAAAATAACCTTTTAAAAGTTTTAGATTCTCCAACCCACTGACAACAGGTTGTTTTTCATCAGTGGTCAGGTGGTTTTTATCTGCTGGTAGTTTCCAGCGGTTTGATGCCAGTTTCATGCACCAGATCTTTGTAGGAGGAGAAGAAGCAGCTTAGCAGCTTTAACACTGTAATAATTTCCCAGAAATCTCACGTTAATCGTTTGCTTTCACTAATTCCGACCAAAGCGGTTTGTTTTGAGCGGCGTCAGAAGCTGCAGTGTAGCTCGCCGTGTGGTCGTCAGTATATCGGGCCGGGCCTTTGTTTCTCTCCACAGTCGGCCTTTTGTTCATTTCACACTGTCTCTCTGTCCCTCGTCACTCCTACTCCTGCTGTTTAGCATTTACTGGTTTTCTCTGGTTCATTTTGTCCAACGGTCGTCACGTCTTTTTCTTTTCTTTTCTTTCCTTTTTTTTTTTTCACTCACACTGATTTGACCCTGCTCTCCCTCTGCTCCCTGTCCCCAGGTCGGTTCGATGAGGTGCTGATCCGTCACCAGGTCAAGTATCTGGGACTGATGGAGAATCTGAGGGTGAGGAGGGCCGGCTTCGCTTACAGACGACGCTACGAGGTCTTCCTGCAGAGGTGACCAGATACTGCTCCGTTTCTCCACCTGGCATGATTTACTACAACTTACAGCCGAAACATGAGGACGTGCTCACGACACACACTTTCTTGTGTTTGTAGTTCACAATGATGATCGATATCATCTTCGTGAAATAGATAAAACACAAAATACACAAAACTGAGCTGAGAAAGTTCAGAGTAACGTAAGGAAGTGAAGTTGTTCAGACCCAGTGCTGACCGACTCACCTACGAGGAGCGAATGAATATAACAGATATTTTTTTTAAGAGAATGAGAGTAATGGAAGAATATTCCTTTCACCTCAATATGAATGAATCAATGCAATCTTAATTATTAAATACCTGCTGTTGTAGCGATAGTGTTGTTCCTCCAGGTGCAACAGGTATTTGGTTTCCTGTTTCCTTTATAGAACAGGACGGTTTAAAGTCCCAGACACTAATCCTGCACCAGCTCACTCCCAGCTCTGAATAACAAAGTCAGACATATACCATCATGCTGCAGCAGTGAGCTGTGTTTACCTGTCCACTGTTGGACGGACTGACTCATGGCAGGACTTTAACAAACAGTAACTTCATTATCGATTAACCTGCCAATTCTAATAAATGTCAGAAAAACTTCCTAAAAACCAAAGGTGAATCCGTCGAACTCCTTGTTTTGTTCGAACAACAGACCGAAGTCCAGGAGATTTTCTGTTTATATACAGGACAGACAAACAGTGAATGGCTGGAATCAGAGTGTTTGTCGTTTTATCACTTTGGAAAAATAACTTTTAAACCATTAATCAGTTACAAGGATAATTATTTTTCTGCTGATCGACTGGTTGACTTCTGCTCATCCCGCCCCTCCTTGTTATGAAGCGATGAGGTGAACGGGCCGATCAGTGAACTAACGACGTGGATTCATCAGACTTTAGTCCTAAAACCAGTTCTCCAGTATTAACTTGTGTCTGTGTCTGTGTCTGTGCAGGTACAAGTCGCTGTGTCCCGACACGTGGCCGAACTGGCAGGGGAAACTGGCGGACGGAGTGGCCACACTGGTCAAACACCTGGGATACAAGCCGGAGGAGTACAAACTGGGCAGGTCAGAAACACACACACACACACACACATGTACAGATACACCTTCTCTCTGCTTTCCCTTGCCTCTGCACTCTGAGTCGTTGTGTTGAATAAAACCAGTTTGATGTAAAATCTTTTTTTCTTCACAGATCCAAAATCTTCATCCGTTTCCCGAAGACCTTGTTTGCCACCGAGGACGCTCTAGAGACCAGGAAACACAGTCTTGGTAAGAGTCAGTGAGTCGTGACGTGGCTGATTATTATTATATCACAACTGTCGTGCCGTAGATTTCAAACTGTATCTCCCGTCGCGCTTTCTCCCGCCACAGCCACCAAGCTGCAGGCGGGATGGAGAGGCTACAGCCAGAAGACCAAATACCAGAAACTCAGAACTTCAGGTGAGGAAAACGTCGACTCTCTCACATCTTCACCGGAGTTTATTCAACACCTCCGGGATGTCTGCAGAGAATCCAGGTGGTCGTGGTATTTATTTGTGAGTTATGATGTTTTACGATGCACCTTTGCAGCTATCGCCGTCCAGGCCTGGTGGAGGGGCATCCTGGCCAGGAGGAGGGCCCAGCGCAGGCGTCAGGCCGCGGATACTATTCGCAGGTACACGACAACAGACGCCCACTGTGTGACAGATACACCTGACTCAGAAAGCACCATGGCCACCATCAGTTTGTTTTCCAGACCTCAGGAGATGAACAGGTTTACATCGCCTCTTCAGATCCCTTTTTCCCTCGTCTCCTCCTCAGGTTCATCAAGGGCTTCATCTACCGCCACAAGGAGCGCTGCCCCGAGAACGAGTACTTCCTGGATTACGTTCGCTACTCCTTCCTCATGAACCTGCACAGGAACCTGCCGAAGAACGTCCTGGACAAAACCTGGCCGACACCTCCAGCTGCTCTCTCTGAGGTGGAGACTGACGATAAACTAAAAACTCAAATTAGGATTTAATTAAGGTTTATTGTGGCTAAAAAAAAACCAAAACATGATTCCCTCCTGCAGTGTTTTGAAAGTGTCGTCTGTGTGTTTAGGCGTCAGAGCATTTGCGTAAGCTGTGCATGCAGAACATGGTGTGGAGCTACTGCAAGAAGATCAGCCCCGAGTGGAAGCACCAGGTGAATATATGTAACGTCCTCTTTGTGATGCTTCCCTGTTCGCTGCTTCCTTCGCTCACTTCACTGGCGTCATTTCTGTGTGAGTAGATGGAGCAGAAGATGATCGCCAGCGAGATCTTCAAGGACAAGAAGGACAACTACCCACAGAGCGTTCCCAAACTGTTCGTCAGCACGAGACTCAGTAAGACAGATGTTCTTCCGCCACACCAGAGAGACTTCACAGGCTTTGAATAAACGATTTTAACAGCGTGTTTCCTCTTGTTCAGACGGCGAGGACATCAACCCCAAGGTGCTGCAGACTCTGGGCGCTGAGAAGATGAAGGTTAGTGGAGCGAAGTCTTTGAACAGGTGGAGGGTTTCTTCACCGACAGTGTTGTGACCCTCGTCCGTCTGTTCGCAGTACGCAGTGCCAGTCACCAAGTACGACAGGAAAGGATACAAAGCTCGACCCCGTCAGCTGCTGCTCACCGGAAACAGCGCCGTTATCATAGAGGAGGCCAAACTCAAGCAGCGCATCGAGTACGGAGCCCTGAAAGGTCAGAGGTCATTTTCTAATGGGGTTGTGTTTTTTATTTTTCCTTTTGGACGTCGATTGTGTTGAAGCTTAAACTGTCTTGCACCCTAACCCCCCCCCCCCCCCCCCCCGCAGGGATCTCCGTCAGCTCCCTCAGCGACGGCCTGTTCGTTCTGCACGTGCCCAGTGACGACAACAAACAGAAGGTGAAGCCGAGGACTCGACGCCCGCGAACTTTAGCGTAGTTTTACTCGAATGTGTGAAGTTTTTCACCGTGTGTGTCTGTTCCGCTGTTTCCCCTCAGGGAGACGTAGTTCTGCAGAGCGACCATGTGATCGAGACTTTAACCAAGATCGCGATCTGCGCCGAGAAAATCAACAGCATCAACATCAACCAGGGCAGGTGAGAGGCGCAGCACAAACACTGGAGGTGTTACATTACCACCGTGGACGTGAGCCTGTTGCATAACGCTAATAAGTGCAGTGTTGTAACACTCCTTAAAAATACATCTCCACTCCTACGCTCTGTTCTCTGTGAAGGTAGACGGTGGTTCAAAGCAGGAACAGGCTCTAACTGTCCCTCTGTTGTTCCTCCAGTATAAAGTTTACAGTGGGTCAGGGGAAAGAGGGGATCATAGACTTCACACCCGGATCAGAACTACTGGTGGCCAAGGCTAAGAATGGACACTTGTCTGTGGTGAGTTGACTTCATCATCCTCAGCTTCATCAGTCACGTCACAAAGGTTTCGACTTAAACATTTATGCTGTTTACCACCAGGATGTTTGATCGCAGCATCCAATGGATATTTTGCAACAGTATTTAAAGCTGCAATTATTATTATTTTTATATTATTGATGGATTAAAGTGAAAGAGGTCAATTATGTTATCACTAGGCTCTTCGGTCTCCAGAGGCTTTTCACCTGTTTCAGCTCATTGTTTTGGTTTTCCAGCTCATAAAGTTGCGTCCTATCAGCATTGTTTCGATTGACAGTTGCCTAGCGACATAAACAACAACCGCAGAGGTTTTCGTCTGATTTTGAATCAAGTGCTAAATTCTGATTGGTGCACAGAAACATGTGACATCACCCTCTGCGGTTGCTGCTCATAGTAAGACGCTGAGTTATTATTATTTCACTTTACCCAAGTGGATAAAAGTTTTAATTTGTTTAATCGCTCTCAACAAATTCTAATGTTTATCTAATTTTTACAGTCAAGCTCTGTAAAATCGTCCACACCCCCGTGGCTTCATAAAAAAATTAATTAAAATGTATTAACTCGCTCGTTTTCCGTGTGGAAGCTGCTTGTTAAAGTCTCTCTGCTTAATATTTAATTCTAATAAAAAGGCCTCATCAGCCGAGTGTTGTGTTAAATGAGATATGACTGAAGAAACTGGATCGTTGTTGTCGTGATGTTACTTCCTGCATCTGTCCAAAGTCGCTCTGTTGACCTCTGACCTCTGACCTGACATGTTTCTCCTCTGGATCTCTTCCAGACGGCTCCCAGACTGAACTCAAGATGATGGCCACACACACACAACACACACACAACACACACGCCCACACGCCAGGAACCTACGTACTCCTGACCTCTCCCATCCTCCAATCACATGACTGCAGACCCCCGCTCTGCCTAAGCCAATCAGATGCCAGCTGTCACTCCACAGGTGGCATGTGCTTCCAATTAAAAAAAACAAAAAACAAAAAACAAAACAAAAAAAAAAATCCAGCAAAACTAATTGATATATTTATGTTTATATATTATATTTTTGGGATTAATACTGTTGCTGTTTGAATATTCTGATTTTATATACAAGGCCAAGGAATAACAAATATTGTGGTGCATTTTTCTTGCACCGTGTGTGTTCATTGTGCTTTATTCGGGAACATGACCAACAAATTTATGAGGGAAGATTCAGAATTAGAGACAACAATGAGAAAAAGATAAATCAGGGTGGGTTGTTGCTTGTTGCCTCTTTTTTTCCCCCTGTTTACTTTCTCTGCTCGACTAGAAGACTTGATTGTCTTGCTGACCCTTATTTTTCTAACTGGGGCGAATGGCTTGTTATTGAAGCACGAAGGTGTGTAGAACAAGGCTGACAGTATGTAGGATATCTGTTGAGAGGGTCGGGGACGAGGAAGAGTAACTTTTCAATCAAATGGTGTTACGACTGGCTCTCTAAATCAAAATAAATAGCTGGATATACTACTGAATATAATTCAAAAATCTGCACTCGTATAGTGTTTGAATTAGAAGAAAGCTGATCACTGCATTAAATAATCAGCTTCTGTAAACGCAGCAAAAAAATGAACAAAGTAAGTGAAGGGAGCGTGCGAGGAAAAGGGCGAGAGAAAGGTGAGAAGAAAGACGAGAGAACGCAGCGGTCATTTGCCTCGACACCAGGTGCTTGTGCCTTCCTCCTTTGACTAATTTATTCCTATTGATTTAGTTCCAGAGCTGTATGTACATTGACGTTTAAAACTCAACCATGACACTCAACACAAGAATGAGTCGAGTTCAGTGTAGATAGAAACCCGCCATCCTCTGAGCAGCCGCCTGCACGGTCGACCTCCATTGTTCAGAACCACATACTGAGAAAGCCCCAGCATCTCTCTCTCTCTCTCTCTCTCTCTCCCTCCGTCTGTAGTTGATTCCTCTCTTCCCATTATCTTCAGCTGCCTGCTTTCTGTCTTAGAGAAGATTAGCTTTTGTCACTCTGCGACTGAAGTGGTGGGATGGCTGTCTCTGATCAATATTTTTGAATTAATTTCACCAAAAAGCCATTATTTCTTTTGTTGTTATATCATATATCTCTCCATTTTTACTATTAGACAGGATTGAGACCATAGTGTGGGACTAAAACTCACAATTTGAAGCCATATTAAATCTGGATTTAGCTAAAGTGCTTGCTACAGCCAAAAGCAGTGGTTTTAGATTGAAGCTGCTAACAGCTGTGTGCCTAGATAAACTTTAACTTTTGTGAAAGGAAATAGTTTTACATTTAGGGAAATAAACTTATTGGTTTTATTGCTGAGAGCTAGATGAGACGTTTGATACCACTCTCATGTTTATGCGCTAAGTATGAAGCTAACAGTCAGGAGATGGCTAGCTTAGCTTTGAGGAAAAACTGCTAGCTTGGCTCTGTGAAAATGTCTTAAAAAAAAAACAACACAGTTTTGTTTTTTGTACACATTAAACAAACAAGACTTTAATGTTTAATAAAAAATATATTAATTAGTGAGGTTTAGAGGTGCTGGTAAACAAACTTTATTACTTTTTGAAAAGCTGTTTCCCTGTTGCTAGCCTTTATGCTAACGCTAGCTAAGAAGCTTCTGGCTGTAGCTTATACTGAACACAAACACACAGGAGTGGTGTCGATCTTCTCATCTAAGTCTTAGCTAAAAAAGTGCAGAAGTAAATTTTCCCAACATGTCAAACTATTCCTTTAATGCCAGAAAATATAAGCATTCAGAGCTCTTTGCAGAATTTTAACAGTAGAAAAAACGTCTGAAATAGCATCTGAATTGTCATGCAACACTATAAAATATTAATTAAAGCACATGACAACAGTAAAATATTCATGCATCTTCCGGTTCAAGTTAAAAGCGTCCTACTGACCAACATCTGTCGGTCTAAAACCTATCTCTGACCCTTGACCCCTAACTCATTTCCAGCCTACAGGTGAGACCAAAGACTGACGGTGAAAAAGTTTTGTTCTTGAAACTTTTGAGAGGAGCTCCAAAATGTTTCCAAGACTTTTTTTTTTTTTTCTCCAGGCCTCGCTCAATGACAGAACTTTTTCTCCGTGTGGCTCTGGGTGGCGAGGCGGGTGCAATATGCCGAGGCAGGACTGTGCTTACTGCAGTTAAACTATACTAGCCAAAGACCCTGTTGATTTATACTGATTTTGTGTATGATTTATATGATATTATTATAAATGTTATGTTGTTTGTTTGGTTTTTTTTTTCCAGGAGGGAGATGTTTTTGTACAGTTTGTGTTCTGTGTTGTTATAAATGAGAGATTCAAGCCAAGTGAGGTTTGATGATGTGAAACATTTTGGGGAGAAGAAGCTTTTAGTATTGTTCGTTAACATGTTCACGTGCCTTGTCGGATAGCAATACAACAGGTTTGTGTGGAAATAAAAAGAAATACCTCCTTGACAGAGTCTAGTCGTTGGCTGACGACGGTCGTCTGGCTGTTTCTAGAAGTTTCCCAGCAGCACCTAAAGGTTCGCTCTCTCTGCGTGTATAAGCTTTATTCAAACCAAATCCAAAGTCTATTGTCTGTCGATTTACAGATGCACTCCTGTTATCAGTCCTGACTCACTGTGTGCCCCAAACCAATGTATAATTATGCCAACACACTAAAACAGTAAGATACTAAAGATTTGAAAAAATAAATTTGAAAAGTAAATACAAACTGATGAAAGGCTGTTGGGTGTTTATTCCTTCCTGTTCAGATGTGTGTGGGTGTTTACCAGAGACTTGTGTCCTTTACAAGTCGACAAGGACGAGTTTAAATGGTCAGATAAACGGAGATTTGAATATCTACAACTCCACGATCCATCTGCTGAAGATCATTTAGTTTCAAAGCTTTGGGGTATGAGAGTCCATCAGAATTACAAGGAGATACTGACTCAACTTATTCTCATTTAACATCAAAATAGAAAGCAGAAAAGCCTCGTCTGTCTGAAGCGACACTGTCCATGGATGGATAATGAGACAAAGGGCCCAGGGCTCAGATACATTAAAGGCCCTCCCTCCTACAGAGGAGCAGGACCCTCCTCATCAACGAGGCCTGAAATTCACTGCTCTGTCATTTCTGCAACATATTGCAGGTTACATATTGTAGATGATATTATAGGACACTACAAAATATTTAGAAAAAACCTTGAAATGCATCTTATATTTTCTTAAAGCAGAGTTATTATCAAGGAAGTTGCAACCACAAAAACTGGATATCGTAAAGATACAACATTAAACACAAAATAAAAACACATAAATGATACATATGATTAAAAAACCATTAATAAAATAAAATAATTAAGCAGCTTGGAGCATAAAGCTGAAAGCAGTTTCTTTATGTTCAGGTGATCTCTATTCTTTTTTTAAAAAATGTTTTTATTGCCATTTTCGGACAAAACTAAAAGATATAATGCTACACCATGATAATGAAGTCAGTCCTTGACTGTTGAGATTAGCAAAGTAAAGAAAAGGCGAGAACGTCAAAAACCCTCAACGAGGTAAGTAAATCATCATCCTCCAGAAAACTACAAAGAATGTTAGATTTCACCATCTTAAGAGAAATGTGGCTCAGGGGCCTCCCGCCCCCGTGGGCCCTGGACCTGGAGATCAGGTGCACCAATCCATCAACAGACGTAGATTCACTCAAGTGGTTATTTTCAGATGCTTGCGCTTGACTTTAATATCCCCATTTTATCTTTTGCAGGAATCTCCACCGCACTGGTCTCAGTCCGGTGTGTGTCAGTCCGCGTCCAGCAGGTGTCGCCCTCGGTCTGAACGACGACTCCAGTGGTTTTTGTTTTCAGATGGTCTTTCCACTGGACCATGTGAGCCCTCCTCTCCTCCTGTATTTCTAGGAATTACAAGTTGGGCATGAAGTTGGAGGTAAACAGTGAGTCACGTCACGCGCTGACGGGAGAGTCCATAGACTACATACAGTATACTGTGGGTGTGGCAGCAGTGTGTATATACAGTTAATCCTATAGACCTTTGTTACACACAGAAAACCAGAATTCAGGCTCAACTGTGCAACAGTTTCTTCACTAAACTTTCAAATCAGAACAAAAAGAGCCACCGAGGTTTATTTTGAGACTTTTACTCCAGATTCAGAGCTTCTCTCATGGGAATATTTAAACACAGAGAAAGGTTTTGTTGCACCATCGTTTTCTCGTGTTAACGACCATTTCAGGCCTGTTCGCTGTTAATTACAATGAATGACAGTAAATTTCAAACGAAAACATTCTTCATTTCCCCTTGTGCCAAAGTTTATTGATTTTATTGGCTTTTTATTATTATAATAGCTCCATAATCAACTGTAGCTTCTGTAATGTTATATTTAATACATTCTTTTGTGTTTCAAAATAAAAGCTATTTTGTCCCAGAATGATCAGCTGTTCAGTCTGTGTCTAAACAAACCTCGGCGACCTGTTTTCCCAACAAAAATTTCTTGTATTGAGAAACAACACACATGTAATATTGGAGCTTTCTGATTGGCTGCGGCTGGTCTCTAGCTCAGCCACGGGCCAATGGGGAGGCGGGGTTGTTTGTGCACCGCTCTGCGCTGCTATAAAGCGGCAGCAATGAGGGATGAGAGGAGAAACAGTGAGTCAAAGAAATCAAGGAGGAATCCTTCATGTGAGTTAACGCCGCTCCTCTGTGCGTTTGTCGTCGAAGGACACCTGGACCTGCAGATCCGGATCTGACTGAGGGACGGAGCGGCTGTGTTTGCTCCCCCCCCCCTCCGCTGAACCCACAGACTACAGGTAGGCTGCCCGCACCAAGGATGCTCCACACTGCACTTCACTGGAGGACAGGCTGACTCATAATGTTGGCGCGCCTCGTACAGGGATAAATCATCACAGCAGCATTAGTGGTGTCCTGCACTCAGACTCTTTTCCTGTCCGTGTTTCTCTTTGTTTAAGGAAACTGAAGCTGCATCAGCCTGTAACACTGTTATCAACTTCACATCCACCACTCTTTTATTATAATAAGTCATTTATCCTCTGATCATTGCTGTGATCAGTTCACTGCAGATCAATCATCGGTGACTGGATCAAATACACTAGACACTAAACACTAGATGGATTTTGTTACAGCTGTTTCTTTCATTGACCGACCACTTCTTCCGTTTCCCTTTATATGTTTTGCTCGGGTGTGATGAAGGCAGTTCAGTTGTGTGTGTGAAAGTTTAGGATTTAATTTGTGAATGAAAACGCGCGCGCGATCCCGCGGAAACAGCGGGAGGCGACAGAATAAAAGTCTTGTTCTTTGTATCCGGACGCTGTTTTTGTTGTCACTCGTTCTCTAGTTAACTGTCTTTGTTTCAGCAGCGTGACGCTAACTCCCAGCACTGTTGTTGATACCGAACAGCTGAGCGCCACTTGCGTCGATGTGCGTCAAGCTGCTGAAATGCAATCACTCTGATCCCGGAAGGCTTCAAAATAAAAGCAGCACAAATCGGCTCAACTAGTGGAGAGTGTGTGAGGGAGTTCAGGATCTTTGTTCGCGCTCAGGAGGTGTCAATGCATGATCAAATATTGATGATTATCACTTTTATTAATATGCTGCTTATCAAGTTTCATAGCCTCTTTTTTTTGCTCATTGTAGTGGGGTTTTTATTGTGCTTTATAAAAGCAAGTTGCATTATTCTGAAAGTGTTAACCGGAAGGTGTATGTCATGTTCTGTTAATCTTGACTCTGTGCAGGGAGGAGGGGATGGAGATGCAGATTGGGGTTGTGGGGGTGGGGGGTATTGTGCGGATGATTTCAGTCCAGTTCAGACCAGTTCCAGCTCCGATCCTTATTCACCGCACTATACTTTGTCTTATTGTTTTCAGTGATGATGATGATGATGATGATGCTTGCTGCTATAAAAATAAAAACATGTCAGGACTGTGTGTTGGTCATGCCATCATCTTCTGCAGCTCTGTTTTCCCCTTGTCCTTTACAGCTGTTGGGGGGGGGCATCAAGTTCATGTTCTTACAAAAGCACGACTGTCATTCAAAATAAAAGGGGGGCGTTAAGTTTTTTCACCACATGTTTTTAGCACATAACAGTGGAATACAATAGAAAAACACATGTAATTTCTATTATGGATTCAAGTCAGGTCACACTGTGTGTTTGTATGTAACATCTGAAGCTTCACATTTCCAGTATTATACAATAAAAGAGCTCATTATTTCTTTACTGTATTATAAATAAATAGGTCTTTTATTCTGTAATATTCGTGAATTAATCAAATTAGGTGACGTTTATATTTACACAACGGTTCATTTTTTTGTTTTGTTTTTTTGTATGAATATTTTTCATTTCGTCACGTTGGCTGTAATTAGCCTAATTACAGACGCGGTTGAAAGTATTAACTGTAAGTACATCACAATAACAGCGTATCAGAGCGAGCGACCGAACCACACCGAGATTCTCGCGCCGCGCTGGTTCGAACCGGCTGGAACTCGCGCTGCGTTCAAGTGCAGTGCAGTTTTTTTGTAAACTCAACATTTGTTGTTGTTTTGTTGTTGTTGTTTTTTTTAACCAAAGTGGCTTTATCGCACTCGACGCTCGCTCATTTAAACAGAGAGACATTTACACTGATGTTTTCATGCAAACAAAGAACAAATCCAGCAAATAGTCGAAGTATTTTTTATCACCAAATTAAGGGAGACATTTTTTAAAACAGTTAGTCATTTAAATCGAAATTTATAGAGCTGGAGATAATTAATTTGTTGAATTTGTGTCTGACATGTATCTCAGAAGCTCTAAGTTTGAATTTTTTATGTAAAATCTAATCCATCACATTTTCTAGCATTAAAGACCCCTCTAAAAATCTCCCCCACCCACAGGGGCTGAACGCTACATCAACCTCACGTGTAGCTGCTGCACAGCTATGTCACTGACAGCCAATAGGAGACGGCATGTTAAATCCTCCAGCCAATCAGAGATGTCAGGAGGCGGGAGATTGTTTAATATTAATGACAGGGGTTTGTGCACCTCAAAGGCCTCAGCTGTGTTCTTGTTTGTGGCTCTGGACCATCATCATCATCATCATCATCATCAGGCTGGAACAAAGAAATGTAAATGTTCCAGGGTGTTTATTGTGAATTCAAGCAATAATATTGTTTATAAATATGATTATATACAGAGATAATAAAGTATAATAAAGTATCAACACAAGCAACGAATCCTAAGCATCTCATATTATCTGAAAACATCCTGATGATCACCTCCTCTCTGTCCCTCCTGTCCTCCAGGCTCCAGCAGCCTCCTTTATCTCCAGTCAGGCCAGTGAACCGCTACCTCACACCCAGCAGAGATGGCTCCCTCCCTGGCCACAGCCTTCTCCCGCCGCTGGTGGATGGCGGTGACGGCGGTCATCGAGAACCTGCTCTTCTCTGCCGTGCTGCTCGGGTGGGGATCCCTGCTCATCATGCTCAAATCTGAGGGCTTCTACTCGTACCTGTGCAAAAGACCAGGTAAGGCAGCTTTCACATAGGTATTGACAATTAGATGAGGGTGGAGTATTTCAGTTTTTGCTACTTTAAGCTTCTATTTCACTTTATTTATTTGCTATAGTTACTAATTTATTATAGTTACCACCAAAGGCTTTATGCAACTTTTCTTTCACATCTGGAATCAGTGTTTCTCTTTAAGGAAAGGATCTAAATACTTCCTCCAACACTGAACTCAAAGCATCACTGACAGTAACTTATTTTATGCAATAACACTTTTATCAGAGGAATGACTTAATGCAATAAACTAGAGAGAAATCACATATTTTGCTTGATGACTTTAGAAACTATCGTCACTCTTATTCGTCACGTGCTGAACAAATATTATCACCACTACTTACTGTTGCTACTATGAGCATGTTTGTCATGCAAAGTAGCTGCAAACGGCTCATCTAAGAGCTAACGGGCCTGTTTGCACCCACTATTTCACAAAAACACCTATTTGGAATTTACTTAGAGTCTGAATGGGATGTTAATGGGGAAACAGTGCGTGACGACGCCCGGAGTGTCTTTGAGCTTTGCCTTTCAACACACTGACTGTACCACTCAGGGAGACTTTATCCTGTGTGGGTGTGGTGGAATTACAGGAGATTGAAGGACATACAAACAAGCAAACACCAAATCTTTCTTTTTCCCAGCAGTGAAGTGGACAGCTGCTCTTTATTCTTCAGCTCTCCTTCATATTGCTGAGGTGTTACGTCCTACTGAGGAGAGTGACCTTTGAAAGGAGCAGCTAGGATTCATATTGATCCTGCTGTTGGGATTTCCTTGTGGAGAATGAGTCGATACGGAGGTGGCAGGCTTCAAAAGCAGCTATGAAGTGCTCCTGCACAACAAACCAACAGAGTTATATCATTATTATTATTTCAGTCTGTCCTCGACTGTCTGTGATCAAAGGTGATGCAGGGAGCTGACGCACTCAGCGGATGCACTCAGCTGCTCGTTATTAGTTTGTTTTTTTTTTATGTCAGAATATTTCTTCAGCCTGGAAAATCTAAATCAGACGAGGACTCTGGTTCCTTCAGCGACCGATCGTTGCCACAGCAGGAAATGTAGGTCAGGTAAAACACAGCAGCAGTTCATCAGCGCTGTCGTCCTCGTCAGTCGGGTGTCTGAGCTGCGTCCACTGCCAGGGAGCGGATCGATGTGTGAATGAGACACATTCATCCCCTCCAGTCTGCACAGCGATTATCACACAGGTGTTTTCTGTCTCTTTGAACGTGTGTCTGTGTGTGTTTCTCTCTCTCTCTCTCTGTCTTCTCTTGTGATGAAAACCTCGCCGGGGTTCATTTGTGCACACGAAACCTTTTTAACGGTTTCATCACACATTCGCTCACACCGTCCCCTGACCCTGTCTGAGGGCGCTGCCGTCTTACTGTAAGTCTGTACGCACTGATAATCCTCATTTTGTGAGTGTGTCAGTGGAAACAGCATGTGTAATCTGCCTGTAATCTGCCCTGAATGAAAGCCGAGGATGCGCTGTTGTTTCATCGTCTGTTTATCTGATTGGATTAGGTTTGGGTAGCTCTTGATACTGACTCAGCCGGCTCCACAGTGACCCATCACTATCAGGTCCCCACTCTCTGACCTGCTAAATGGTGTTAATTCAGCAGGTCTGGTGTTTACCCGAAGCTGTGAAAAGTCTGTAATCAGGTCAAGAAGGTGCGACCTGCTCTGTTTTTGTGTTTATTTACCCACAGTGAGGTCGATGTGTTTGTCTCGCCTCAGGGTAAAGAATGTGCAGACACGTAGCATCGTCCTACCAGCCCTGTTTGAACACAGCTGTGGACATTTTTACACCGTGGAGAAAAACTTGAGCCATTTTCTGTCTGAAAAAAAAAAAAAAAAAGAGATCAGATTAAAATAAAAGTTCACGTTTTTATCTTAAAACAAGAGCCACAGTCATTGGCCGTAACGTGTTTCTAATCCATCCTCATCCTCATCCTGTGGAAGGAATGCTCTCTGAAGTTCAGCTGAGCCCAATATGAGGCTACAACAGTCACAGTGAAAATGCGAAATCTGCCCTGTAGTAATAAAGTGGTTAATTCAAAGTTCCTCTTTTTATAGATTTAATACTGTGTCAGTTTGAACAAGAAGAACAATGCAGCTTGTGCACAGTGCAAGCAGCTAGTTTATGCAGTTAGTGAGAGTCATTTGTTCCCCACTATTACATACAATCTACCATCACCTCAACAAGGAGGACAAATTGTGAATAATTAACCCGTAGCGTGGCAGGAAATAAGAATAAAACATGTACATATACAGTATATGGCAATTTAAAAGAGAAACTAACAGGTAATGTCAGGAAGCGTTGTTAAACCACAGGCCTCGAGAACAGCTTCACTGCTCTTTGTTATAGATTCCTGAAGTCTGGTGAACAGATAACATTGATAACGGAAGGTCATGACCTCCCATGCAGTGTATGGAAACATCTGCATTTACTGTGTTTCCTCAAGTTTTTCCTTGTATATGAAAAGTACTTGTTGCAGAGAAGTGAAAATACTCAAAAATCAGTGCAGCAGAACCAGAATAATTGTCCTCTTCCTTATCACAAACCCCGGCACCTACATCACCCAGAATGCAACTCGACCTCGGACAGATTGGTCTGAGACTGCGTTTTGTTGCGGCAGTGATTTTTGTGTTGTCCCAGAGTGTGTCGAGGAATTTCACCAAGTGGCGTGACCTCCTGCAGCCGCACGTCTCAGGGTTGACAATGAGAGCCGACGCAGATAAGGACCAGGCATTTTCCTCTTGCCACAGACCCGTCACGTAGGGAGGGAGGGAGGGAGGGAAGAGGTGTCAAGTCACAATATGGATTATTAAAACTGCGTGAATATGTCACCTTGCACATGCACTGTTTGAATTAGCTGTATGTTTCATTTGCACATACGCAGCGTCTCACAGTTTGCACCTCTACGCTGTGGATCAGTTGTTAGTAAAACTCTTGATAGTGTTGATCAGTTGAGCACAGCCTGCTCTCCCACAGTTAGCTTGTGGTTTCTCTGGTGGTGTGAGGTGTGAGTGCGTGTGTGTGTATGTGTTTGTTTGTCACACATACCCCCCCCAGCTGCTCTCACCTCCCTTTGTCTCTATGTTCGTCTCATGACTTCACCTCCGATTCCTGGTTGTTTTTAAAAGACAGCCCCGGTTTGCTCAGTCAGTGGAAACGCTTGTGTGTGGTCAGTACGAATGGCGTGTGCATCGTTCCTGAAGGAGAGAAGACGCAGACGTAGCTGGAAAACACACATTTTTTTTGAGACGGTTCCTCTTCCTGTGTGTGCTTCATGTTTCCTCGAGGCAGCTGGACCTTCCAACCATCCCATTGAACCCATCGTCTTTACACAATAGTGTTTTTATCTTTACATAAGACGCCAGTAATCACAAGGAGCAGCCTGCTAATTAATTGTTGATGCAGCCACTGTTACACAGGCGAGTTTTGTGTGTTGTAGGATGAGGCAGCATCATTCCTCCTAACGATTACTCCTCTGTTGGCGCATCATGTTGATATGCTGATATAAGACGTGCTTTCTACAGGCGAGTAACTCTGAAGCCAAGGCAACAAAGCTGTTGGCAGTCTATCAATCATTGAACCAAATGACTGTAGGGTGGTTGACGTTAGCTGAATGTATAGGGGAAGGGAGCGGCGTGAGGAATTTGGCGAAACGTACACAAAAAAAAAAAAAAGAAAAGTTTTTACAGTGTTGACATGAACGGGAAACACCCCATGAAGGACAGCAGGTGCACAGTGAACCCGCTGTGATTCATCAGGAAGAACTTTTCAGAGACGATCAAATCAGCCTGTATACCCTCGGTTGTGTTTGCCCGTGTGTGTGTGTGTGTGTGTGTGTGTGAGGTCTTTACCCGTGTTGACTCAGGTTTGCTGTGACCGTTTGATTAGTCAGCAGTTGGGGCCGCTGGGGGACAGATGCTGCTACCTTCTGTTAGTCCAACAGTCAGCACTTAATGCTCCAATAAACCTCAAATACCAGCCTGGGAGGTAGAGCACACATCCACTTATCGACAGGAAGACTGATTCACAAAGGGCCTCTGGAATCTGAAATCACTGCCCTTATTTTTGATGTTTAATCATGTTGTATGTCACTGGCTCTGTCGGTCGGTCCAGACTGAGCAACTACAACTGTGGATTGACATTCATGGTCCCCAGAGGATGAATTCTGGACTTTTTCCAGCCACCAGAAATTTTACATTTTAGGCTCCGAGTGACATGTCATACATTAGATAGGAAATCAAAATGAAATCTGGTGCAGACTTTCATGGTCCCCAGAGGATGAATCCTGACTTTTCAGCCCGAGCCACTGGTAGGTTTACATTTTTGGCTCAGAGTGAGATATCTCCACAAATTAGATAGTGTGCTGTGACATCTGGTGCAGACATTCATGGTCCCCAGAGGATGAATTCAGATTTTTTGGAACCACCAGCAGGTTTACATTTTAGGCTCAGAGTGAGATATCTCCACAAATGTTAGGTAGAGGATCGGGAAATCTGTTGCAGATATTCATGGTCCTCAGAGGAAGAACTGTAAAAACTTTTGGACATATGATTCTCTCATGGAGTTTGTCCAGTCATCATGGATTTATAGATGAAAATTTGACAACCAGGCAAACTGCATTTGCTAAGGAAGAATTTGCAAGACGATCGAAAGCTCTAGAGGAGTTGCTCAATGGACCTGGCATCAGTGAATCCTCTATTGATTCACTCTATAATTAGGATGTACTTGAATAAAATGCCTCACAATAGAGGCGGATGACTTTTAGATCGTTGCAGCTCTGCATCCTCGCGTTCAGTCAAACTGGTCCTTTCAGCAGCTGCTTGTTTTTTAATGTGGTGGAGCTCCAGCGCTCCCACATCCCGACATTAAAACATCACTGCAGTCATCAGATGTTCGCTAAGCCACATTAACTCTCACTCACTTACATCCTCGCAGGGCTCGGGCCTGTTTTCCTGCAGTGGGATGCGTTTAATGTGACACATCAGTTTCCTGTTGTTCCTCTAAAGTTTTCCCCCTTCAGCCAGGAGACCAGCGTCAGCACCTTATCCCTCCTCCCTCTCACCTTAAGCTGGCTCAGTAGAGGCCTGAAATCAACCTCGCACAACAAAGGGAAAAGTAGATTTTCACTTGTTTATTAGATGCAGCAGGGATTTTGGCTGCTGCCGACAACTTGCCCCCAGGTCTGAAATGAAGAAAACACTGTGATGACTAAGTACTTTACAGCTCCCTCCCCTCCTCCAGACATGAAACATGTGGTAACAGCTAAGTCCGTCTCTATTGTTTTCCCGACAGTTTAACCAAAAACAAGTCAAGGTGAGAGGAGTTGTTTTCCTCCTTCAGCCCTCCCTCTTTGTCCTCTGTCTGTCTGTCTGTTCAAACCAGCAGAGTTTCACCGGAGGCAACAGTCTACTGGAGCAGATAGACAAAAATAGACTCCACATGAACTCAGTGGACTGTGTTTACCAGTGATTCAGCGTGAGGCAGACTGAGTGAAACTGTTACAGAGAGTTCCCCCGTCCGCCATGCAGGGGGTCACTTGTGACTATTTCTGGTGGTTGTTTACCCTGGATTTTGTTGTTTTCCCGTCAGTGTGTTTACATGACCTTTAATAAGTCTGCTGCCTTTTCGATAAGCGACTCGGCTCTCAGAGAGGGAGGGGTACATGTAGGAGCTCAGGCCTTAAAAGAGCAACATTAGAAATAATATTAACAATAATAATACTGTTATAATGATACGAAGAGGGTATTTATTTGAGATCAACAACAGGTTGTGGTGTCTTTTCATAATCATAATTCCTAGCACACACAGAATGGTGACGCTTGTTTTGTAAAAGTTAAAAAACAGTGAAACTATTTGACATTTTAAAAGTATTTAACTAAAAGCAAAAGTCCTGTAACCCATTTTTTGGCTGCAATGCAACAGCGACGCCGGATATCTGTGACTGACTGACTGAGTGATCACATTTCCACCACTAGACAGCCAAATGCCTCGTCACTGAGTTGGAGTTTCTGGCGCAAACAGTTTCTATTAACGTTTACAGCCCGCAGTGTTGCCAACTTAACGATAAGGCTAAATGTAATAAATGCAGTTTGTTTGGCTTAGCGGAGGCAAAGCTCAGTGAACTGGAAGCGCAATTCTGCTTTGCTGCAGCTCCGGATTAGTCAGGAAGCCGGGGCGGCTGGGTGACTGCCCGGCTGCCTGTAAGAGGAGGTGTAGCTCTAAGCCCTGACACCCATACATGGTCCAGCCATGTACTAGGTTTATACCTAGTCCTGTATAAAAATAGAGATACAAATGTATTATCAGTAAAGTATATGTTAAGTGTCAAATGTGAAAGTATACTAATACAGAATAGCCCCTTTCAGAATGTTATATTATTATATTTATTAAATTATTGGATTATTGATACTAATGCATCGATGTGTGAATTCTAAAGTTGCAGTCTGAGATATAACTTGTTTATATACCATTGGGTCGTTTAACATATAAAAATGCATCATGTTTTTGAATATAGATCATATGTTTTGCCGGTCTACATACAGCCATGCTAGTCGCTCCGTGAGGCACAGCTAAATGCTAACGTCAGCATGCTAACATGCTTACAGTGACAGAAATAGAATGAAAAACAGAATTTGAGTCAGAACGGTGTTTAAGTCAGAAAATCTCCAAGTGATGGTTCACTGTCATTCGTAACCACCAGCATAATTATAACGCTTTAAGATCTACATTTGACGGATCAGATCTAATCTAATCTTTCCCCCCTCTTCTCTCTCATTTTTCTCACCCTCCAGACAACAGCTCCAGCTTCAACATCTCGAACGCGTCCTCCCCTGAGAATCACGCCACAGAGGAGGAGGAGGAGTACCTGGACATGAACGGCTGGCCGATCTGCAAGGACCAGGATGAGATGCTGAACCTGGCCTTCACCGTGGGCTCCTTCCTGCTGTCGGCCATCACTCTGCCCATGGGCATCGTCATGGACAAATATGGACCACGGAAGCTGAGGCTTCTGGGCAGGTGAGGCTGGATCAGAAAATCTGACAAGATGTGTGTGGGACAGTTGCGGTCTGTGGTCTTCCCCTTATTCATACCCGTTGCTTCATGTGTTCCCAGTGCCTGCTTCGCCTTTTCCTGCCTGCTCATCGCCTACGGAGCCAGTGATCCCAACAGTACGTATCTCTCATGTCATCTCACATACATCACTTTAACAGCATCATGCAGTATGTCCACGCTGCCTCACACACTTGCTCTCAATCATGGCGCCTTTGTAGGCGAGCAATATCATAATGCACATTTACACAGAGGTGCATACGGTGTAATGACGCAGCGGTGCCATTTAAACAGATGGGAAGTTACCACATCACTGATCACTCTTTCTCCTGCAGATCTGTCCATACTGATCTTCTTCGCTTTGGCAATGAATGGGTTCGGAGGCATGTGCATGACCTTCACTTCTCTGACGGTGAGTAGTAAGCTTTACAAAGATTACAATGCTTATATTTTCAGGTTTAAGATGCTTATAGCTGATGCTTGGTTTAACTGGTCAGATGGTGCCACTTCGACTTCACAATTATCGTGGCCAAAAGAATTCACAATAATGATATTATCGCGATATCAGAAGAAAACATAATAATAATGATTATGCTAGTAATGCTATCAGTCTCCATTCTTTAGCTTTGTTTATTGTGTGTTTCGTCTCTTTTTTTGGAAAATTAATTCTCAAATACGAGTGTAGGCGGATTGGAAAGTGAGTCTGTAACCGCTCAGAAGTAAAGAACATTTACACTTAATGAATAGTGAAAAGACATCCCATATATCACCGTATTATCATGTGTGTATTATTATCACAATATCAACATTTCATTATAAAATAAATAAATATCACGGTTATCGTTGACACGGGTAAATCGTGACTTCCCTAACTTGTTCCAGTAGAATTAATAGATCTCAACATGGAGGCAAAGTAATTCCGCACTGAGTTTTCCGTAGAGTCGACCTTCGGTGAACTTTAGCGTGCAAATCTGTGCCACTGACCAAAGACTAAGTTGACATTTGAGCCAAGAGTCCAAAAAAAGAGGAGCATATCATTTTAGCTTGTGTTGTACCGTCAACTTTGTACTACCCTCCTCTGCCAGGGTTCAAATTGTTCCACAAAACATATAAACATGTTAAAATATTTTCCTTCAACTGTTTTAATTTAGTGTTGAGTTAGCTAGCTTCCTAACTGGTGGCAAGCTAAGTGGTAGCAAGTCAGCTAGCTTGGGATGCTATTTTTTTCTGGCTACTGTCAGCGTGTTACAGCTAGCTAGTGTGTTAGCATTTGCTGAAACCAGCTTCCACTTTCTGGTGTGACCAAGAAAAAGAAGATTTGCAGAAGAAAAGAAGAGAAAAGTAAAAAACTAATTTCTAAGCATTTTTAATATATTTTTAATACATTTTTTATATAACGTCAGTATCGGCATAACAGGCTAGCATAAATCCCAGATGTGATATGAGGGGAGGGTTAGTGCAGGAACAAGAGGAAAGAAAGGCAGGAGAGTGGATTATAGCACCGCTGTGAAGTGGGACAGCATCAGACACTAGTGGAGAGAAGAAGAAAGAAGAGGGTCAGTGGATAGAGAGAGAGAGAGAGAGAGAGAGAGACAGATGCATTAGAGAGAGAGAGAACAAAGATGGATGGAGGAGGAGAGATAAAGCGGAAAAGACGGCCGGACAGCTGACAGGAGACCGCTGGGAGAAAAAGATGAGCAGTGACTCGTAGACGGGAGGCGAGGGAGGGATGGAGGACGGAGTAGACGAGGAAAGCTAGTGGTCAGGGTGATCTCATCCGTCAGAGAAAGTGCTGCATCAGAAGAGAGGAGGCCGCGAGAGAGAGAGAGAGAGAGACACACACACACACACAGGGAGAGAGAGAGAGTGGTTAACAGAGAGGACGTCTATATTAGTCATTTATTATTCACGTCTGTTCTGCTGCTCTGGCTGGGAGCCAAAAAAAGACCTGTCCTCATTATTATTTCATCCACACAAGGACACATGGATGACCAGTGTGTGTGTGTGTGTGTGTGTGTGTGTGTGTGT